CCGATAAAATTCAACCAATCAGATGACGACTTCGACATTCCTGAAGTGTTTCCAGTTAAGTGTACCATATGCATCAGACGTTTAGCCAACGTTCCGTGGGCGTGACGTCTGAGGCTGAGACTAGGGAGGAGGTGGATCCAAATTCCACTTAGCGAGCGCCATCTTGAGTGTGTCCTGCAGAGAGAAAACCACTGAAGAAGGCGCATCCTGAAGGTCGCTATGGGGACGTTGGAACTGAGAATGTGAGGGTATCGCCATATAATAATCCTGTTCCTCACGGTCTAAGGAGTCAGAGGCCGCAATAGATAAAGTGTCTGGTTCTCTCCTGGAAAACACACACTCACAGTTGGGCAAGGGAGGAGCTGACGAGTTCTGACGTTCTGACGAGTAGGGGGTGCAGATAATAAGACTTTAATACCCTGAACTGCGTTCGCAAGCTCAGTGACTTGCTGGGTCAATGTACTTGACTCCGAGGAGGTTCGCATTCTCTTTGAAGGCCTTCCCACTGGCCACACACTTGCTACTTACATGCGGTGCTGCCCCAGATGATGGAGCGGAACTCCTAAACTCAGGGTCCAATTCAGCCAGTCGATGTTTTCTAATTTTCAAGGACATCAAACCACATTCAGGACATGGGTCTACTAAAGCCTCATGGAGGTGATCAATGCCTAGGCAAGTGGGACATTGAATATGCGCTTCCATGACATCCATTGGACCAAAGCAGAGGGAGCATGAAGCTGCCATAACTTCCAGACCAGTATTTGGGAAAAACCCCTGGTCAACCAATGGGGTTATATAAAAAAAAAGGTGTTACAGTTGCTACAATAAGCCTTATCAATGTATCCCTCTGGTAAACCAATGAGCATAACATAAAGTAGTCGTTTCAGACAATAAACAATTCTACACGCAGTCAGACAGAACCCTGTTGAGCCACTGAGTTCACATGAGTACTCACCTCAACACTGCTAGTAGCGATCGGTTCCAAACGAAAATCGACGGAAATCCAATTAACTATAATCCAAAATATTTCTCCCCAGACACCGCTGTAGCGGGGAGCAGTTGCTCACCAAAAACGCAGCGCACGCTCGAGCGAGATCTCTTTGTGAGAATAGGCTTGTTTGAGATGCGCCTCGCCTCGCCTGCAATGTAGTCGAGAGTAGGCAGCTGCAGTGAGGGGAGGAGTGAAAAAAGCGCAATCAAGCCGGACAGATCTAGGTTCTCGTAATGAATCAGACACCTGTGAGATCAAAGGCGGATATCGCGGGATTAACGGGATTCACGCTCGTGCACGTGTTGCTAATAAAACTGGATGTGATTTAAGTTCTATTGCTTTTATATAAAAATAAATATAATGAACAAGACACCCAAAGTACTTGTTATTTAATTACATTCCAAATATGTGTTTATCAATCTTTTTTTTTCTTTAATACAAACGTGTTTTATATAGCCTATTGTTTTAACAAAAATGAAATATAACCCATATGGCACTGTCAGAGAGTTTATTCACCCATATGTAGCCTATACACATAAAACATGATATCAGTTTTAAAATCAAACATTTTAAAAGAGAACAATTCATCTATTGTTCTTTTATTTTTATTTTTATTTATTTTACTTTTTTATTAGAATGCAAGTTACAAACATAGCCTACCTACAAGCACCACAATTCGTGAAACAAATAGGCCTATTATACAGTGACAAATAAATAAACATCAGAATAAAATTAATAATAAAATAAATAAATAAATCAAAATAAGCTTAGCTTAAATAGACAGACTTACAAACTTCATCATCTATAAAATGAGAGTTATTTTTCACTTGAACATTTTAGAGTAGGCCTATAGGCCTATTTGAGTTACTGACTATAGCATTCTTATTTTTAACCCGTTTAAGAGATCCACAATATATATCAGTTTCAATTTGAAAATAAATAAATAAAATATGGCCTTGATTTGGAGAATTTAGCTTAATGAATATGGAATTTACCTTCATCACTGTTGTTTAAACCAATGAGCATTAAGCTGTGTCGTCAGCAAGTCGTTTCCCATCATGCTTTTGATCAGCGCAGTCGGTGGAGAGCAACTGCGCGCGACTGCAGAATCCGACCCTTCCGCCTTGCGCTCGCGAGAGTTTTTTGACATACGTCGGCATGACATCAGAGCCAGGCGGACCGTTCTCGGACACATTTCTAACCGGCATGCATCTCGCGCTGATCACCGGTGATCGATTCTGCGCAGAATTTGCTCATCTCAAACAAGCCTAATGACAAAAAAAAATGACCGTGACGTGAACGGAGCGGATATAGCGTCCGACACATCATAGGTCAGGGTCACAGATTCGCGATATGGCTCGCGAGATGCGACTCCGTCCACTATGTTCATCCGTCTCTGGCGGTCTGTAACAGTGAAATAGAACAATCGGTTCACTGAACAGTAAATGTATTCCCTGAAATTTCTCTTTCCCTTCCATTCAACATGCACATGTCACTTTGCACACATAAATATTGCAGAAATGTGTTGACTTCATCCTCTTCATATCTGTTGATCCGTCGAGATTTTCTGTGCCGTTTACAGTTTAAAGTACATGGGTCGGGATCATGATCCGCTTTCCTGTACAGAAGTTTATGTTTCTTGATGACAGAAAACGTGAATAGGTCCAGAACCACCAGATCCAAAAACACAGACACACAAGCAGAACAGACAAAATCCAATACACAGCTGAAGGAGGAAGAGGACAGTTTTTTATTCTTCTTAAAACTCACTGCTTAAAGATAATAGTAGTAAATCTCTCAATGCCTCCTGTGTTACTCACTGTATTGTTCAGTGACATCAGTCCTGATATAATCCGTGTGCCGTTTTCCCTTCAAGTCTGGACTCGATTCTGTAGATGATATTGAAAGGTTAGTCACAAAGTGTAACATTAGGTCCCTGTTTTAAAGATCTAAGTGTGTGTCTGAATCCAATTTTTTGGGCGTAACGCAGAGTCTCATCTCCTGTTCCCTTAAAAGACAATTGTGCTCGCACATGCAGATTCACTATTAGCAAGAGGACAAACTGAACATGTTTCCAGAACACAAACAGGTGTCTGTGTTGTAAGAAAAATTGAAGTGGACGTCGAAGATATCAAAAATGAAGTTTATTTACAGCATAGCAGTGGCAAGGCACACGAAGCACCTTGGGTTCACCGGCGTCAGAATGAACTCCGAGCTCATCCCAGCGCAAACATTTTATACAGTCTTACATCTGTCTTCCCTCTCAGCATGTAAATGAAGCTTTCTCTTAAATGTAAATCAAGACAAACAGATTCGTCTTCTCTATCAGCGTGGAGGTGAAACTCTGTCTTTAAATGTAAATTGTATAGAGAACGAGGCAAGTGGTGCCTCCGTGTCTATGTCTTTGTTATTCTAAACTCTGTATTTAAATGTAAATCGAAGAGAACGATACAAGTGTTAGACTGATACGGTCAAATGTTTAAAGGTGATAATATCTCTCAGAAACTCCCTAATCAAGATGGTTCTTGAATACCCATGTCTTTCCCACTCTATAGGTGATAACCATGACTCTGTGATTTTGTTTAAGATTGTAAGGAATTGAGTCTATGATAAATAAGCTCTTTCAAGTGAAGGAATATTTCAATATAATCTATATTGGAGTGGAAGCTTGATCGGAGCAGACTGTAATTTCTTACAGTGTGTGTGTGTGTGTGTGTGTGTGTGTGTGTGTGTGTGTGTGTGTGAGAGAGAGGCTAAAACTCAAGCAGATCATCTACAGGACAAGCCGGATTCACCATATCTTTATGTACACAATAAAAATTGTGTCTAGTTTAAATTGTCTAGTTTGTGTGCAGCTGCGTCCCTGTGAGTGTGTAATAAGTAGAGTGTGTGTGTGTCTGTGTGTAATAAGCAGTGTAAGGACCCGTTTACAGGCTCACATTACTAACGTGCCGTGTAAATATTAAATAAAATATTAGACTTTAGTCCAGGCTTCAGTTTGTCAATGGCGCGTTTATTACAGTTCCTCAAAATAGCAACAGTCCAACAATGCTCCTGAACACACACTCTTTCTCAGACCAGCATATCATGGGTGAACAAATGGCCACAAACTGCGTCGGGCTGAAACTAGTGAAACACACTTGCATTGCTCTGTTTTATAAGCTCAAATATTTCTACATATGTGACCCTGGACCACAAAACCAGCCATAAGGGTCGTTTTTATTAAATTGAGATTTATATATCATCTGAAAGCTGAATAAATATAAGCTTTCCATTGAGGTATGTTTAGGATGTATGACAATATTTGGTCGAGATACAACTATTAGAAAATCTGGAATCTGAGGGTGCAAAAAAATCGGAACTAATCGAAAAAATTGAGAAAATCGCCTTTAAAGTTTCCATTTATGTTAGGGATTGTGCTCCATTCACTCACAAAACTACATTTTTGATATATTTATGGAAGGAAATTTACAAAATATCTTCAAGGAATAAGATATTTTATTTAATATCCTAATGATTTTTGTTATAAAAAAAAAATCTATTTTGACCCGTACAATGTATCATTGGTTATTACCACAAATATACCTGTGCGACTCCTGATGGTTTTGAGATCCAGGGTCATGTATAAGTTGTATGTGAAAAGTGTATGATTAAAATATGTGAAGACGTTGTGTAGTGGATTCCAACCTTCCTCAATCCATAGTATACTTCTTATGACATACTTACATACTTAATCAATACTTATAGCTTTTGACAGTACAGATTCAAAGCAGTCAGATAATAATAATAATAATAATAATTCTGTTGAATATTAAGAAGCTTCACAGTGGTAAACAGGAAAATAAAGATCAAATAGAAATATAATTAAAAATCTATCTTAAATAAGAAAGAATTGTTATATATAGGCCTATATATTAAATTATTAATATTATTTAAATAAATATTTTCTACACTCTTTATATGTAAATGCTTTTTTTTCTTTTTGTACTATAAATACTTTCCCAACTCTTTAGAAACAATGGTTGCTATTCAATAAAAACTATAATTCTTAGTTCAAGAACTAGGTTTGGTCACCCTTCAGTCACTATAGTCCAAATCTTTAACTAGGCCACTTGAAACTAATCGAATCATGATGTAAACAGTATATATTGGAGAAATATGTAGACAGAATCCTCTGAAGATGTTTAGTGCTCAAGGAAAATTACAAGTGATCTCACCAGAACCTTCCAGCAAACCTCAACACAATCTGAATTACCATAATCACTATATATGCAATAAATATCGTAATCACAAAAATCCCATTCACTTTCATTAGCCAACTCAAAGGTTCTCGATCACGATGGGGGTAAGCTGAGAAGAGAGCACACATTTCATATTTATAAACTCACTGTTAATTTTAACCATGCAGCCTCTTTTACTGTTCGTCTGTTACCTGTGTGTTCTCCTGTTGAGCCAGATCCTGTAGATACCACTGAAAAGATCAGTGATACAGTTTAACTACTGTTTGAAAGAGAAAAGCCCAAGCTCCTGATGTATTAAAGATAATATTTGTGCTGGTCCACTGATGTTCTCTCACCTGTGACTGTGACTGTGACCAAGGCTTCATTATTAGAGTCCAGAACTCTGTATGATCCAGAGTCAGTGTCTGTAAACTCATGAATGATCAGAGTCTGCTCACTGACGCTCAGTCCATCACTGCTGACCCCGTGACCTCTCCTCCACAGCTCTGTCCAGCCGGAGCCAGAGTTTCTCTCCACTTTATCAGCGTTGGTCAACAGAACATCCAACTTCAGATCCTCTCCTTTCTTCACTGAGATCTCATCTGAGGACACACACACACATTCATCATCATTATAATGGTGTCAATCAATGAACCAATGCCATAAGCACAGTTTAGTACCAAGGAGACAAAATGTAATTATTTTAAAAATAAGCCACTGAAAAGCATATTGATATAAGGATATTTGATGGGATGAGTGACATTTACTATATTTGCTGGTTTGCAATGTTATTTATAAGGGAAATCCAGAAGGAAGCACAAGCTGATGTTTTGAATTTACCATGAATATGAAGTTTATATTGCAGGATTTCTGTCTGATCATTACTGTAATAGACTCTCAGAAAGTATTTCCCAGCGTCACTGTAGATCAGATCCTTGATGATGACGTCACATGATCCTTCTTTAAAAAATCTGCTGTTTTCACTCTTACATTCTTCTCTCTCACAGACAAGGATGTTTTTTGACAGTCTGCTTAAAGCTAGAGCAGAAATGTCTCTGGCCTCAGATTCACATGTCAGTGTGACGTCTCCTCCTTTCCCCCCCGTCACAGGTACAGGAGTGGTACCTGCAAATATAGGCAGAATAAAATTCATTCTAATTCCTATAACATTAAAAATAAAAATTGTTAAAAATTACAAAAAAATGATACCGACCACAATGACTGATAAAGCAAAACAGCAACAGAAGATTCAAATACCTGTTGAGAAACCAGAAGAGCTGGTTTATGACACATCACAAACACACTCATACATACAGCGATAAAACACTAGTAAAAGCAGTAAAACAGCAGTAAAATAAGGCTAAACATTCATTTTCAATTAGTCTAAATATTTAACATAGATCTTAGGCTACATAATAAATATGTCCAAAATGAAACATCAAACTTTGATCTGAATCTTCGGTGACAATCTAATAATTAATAACCATACTGATAAAAGCCATCATAATCACCATAATCACAACCACAATAATGGACCTATTGACCCATTTTAAAACTTACATGGTAAAAATTCGGCACGAGTCTAGTTTTCAGGCATCATCAAAACTTTGTAAACATGTTTAGATACGAGTAAAAGGGAAACCAAAAGGATCGCACAGCTCCAGGTTCCAGAAACAAGCAAAAATGTGCACCTCCTTCTCAGGAACTGCAGTCATGCCACCTGTGCTGGTCGTGCCATCTACGCGTAAAAATATACAGAAATGATACAGAAAAGCACTGAGCTCTCGTTGCATTTTCCTTATATAGCCGAACCTCATTTCAAATGTAAACATGGGTTTCCAATGGAAATGTACCGGTGGCGGTGGGTAACCATTTGCTATTTGCATTCAGACAAAAGATCAGAAGGTTTTATCTCAAAGACACACCCTTCTGTGTGCAAGATATTTCCATATCCTCAAGAACTTTATTACCTTTTGATTTACTTTGGAAATGAGATTTGTACCAGTCACCCTGAGACCTTTAAAATGATACTAAACACAATCCCTAACGATAATCATTCACATTAAAACCATATAAATTCTTGTGTGAGTTTTAACTGTTCACGAGTTCACACACATACAATTAAAGGGAATATAAAGTATAATGCGTATATGGTGTGCTGTCCCGGGGGAGGGCTCCGATCTCAGAATTCGGCCCGAACCCAGAGTACTCCCCCAAAAGCTAAAGAGCAGAGGACAGCCGCCGGACTAAAGACCTTAACTTTACTATAGGCTTAACCTTAACTTAACTATAGGCTTAACTTTAGTCAGCATACGTAAATGGAAAAAACACGATCTAAGAACAGAGTTGACTTGCTTATCCAGTTTCATGGAATTGTACAGAAACACCAAGATTTTTTTTTTCATGCACTGAGACATTAATTGTTTATAAGGTTTGCAGTTGTATTAACACTATTTTAAAAGTGCTTTTATTTTTTTCAATGTACAGCATCAAAACCTGAATTATGGGTGCATTTAGAAAAAAAATAAAGAAATCATCTTAATTACAATAAAAAATAATATGAAATTATGACTGACAGTAATGTATCTGATGTCAGAGACATGTCTATCTAGAGAAGCATTAATAAATATGCACATTTTTTGAAGACCATACTTGATATAATAAAACGCACAAAAAAATCAAATAAATACAATGCACAAATGTCTTAAAAGTTCACTGTTCTGCTAAAAAGTTGAAGACCTAAAACAGTAGTGCTAAGACAGTAAAACTTTTAAAAACAATTACACAAAAACGACTGCAAAGATTATACCTGATAATAATAGGACTTTTCCCAAAATGTGTTTCTTCTGCAGTTTGAGTCCCGTTTGTGTCTGAATGTCCAGCCCGATCGCACGAAAGTTCGTATCTATGGCACGAATGTCATTTCTCGTGGCATTTATACGCCAAAAGCAGCTTGACCAAGCTTTAGTGTTTCAAAGCACAATTTAGCAGACAATGCAACAGTGTTGAGGAAAGATGAAGACACTTTAGGACAAGACAAGAGTCTTCCTCAGACCATAACACAGAAATGATCTGACTAGGCCAATATTGCTCATGGTGGGAAAAGAAATCAATGCAGAGACAGTCAGTAAACATAACCCTGATGTAGATGCAGTCCAAATGCACATATACAGTGAGTTATGAATATGTTCCTGCAGAAATCTTGTGCCAGAATTGTCTGCCGATCTGTTGGCTCTGAAGGCAAATTACCGTAAAGGAACCGTGTTGAAAGTTTCATTGCATCTTTTTGGCTTTAATAGCAAACACAATCAGAACGACCACAGCCAGCACAAATGTCCCCACTGCCCCTGAAATAACCCAATGATCTACAGCAGGGTGGAAGAGAGAGCATTTCTTTGTTTTAAAAAAGGGTTTTCATTTTCAAACTCACTGTTAAAGATTTTGCCTCAATGTCTCTTGTTTCACTTACGCCGTGCTTTCGTGTCCTCAGTTATTCTGTTCAGTTTTTGTCCAGATTCTGTAGTAGAGGATATCAAAGGTTAGTCACAGTTTAGCAGCAAATTCCTCTTCAAATCATTGATATATAAATAAATCTCAGATGTCCAAATATTTACAAAATAATATTTCTAAACATCTACTGATCTTCTCTCACCTGTGTCATTGACTGTAAAATTATTAATGGTCAGATTTGTATCTATTTCGCTCCTTCGATCACTGCTGACCCTGTGACCTCTCTTCGAAACCTCCTTCCAGCTTTCATCAGAGTTTCTCTCCACTTTATCAGAAACGGACATCTCATCTGAGGCGAAACAGACAGACATTAATCATTATAATAATGGTGTCAGTCAATAAGTATTAGGAGGGAAAAAGATCATTTTAAATCTTTTTTTTTTTTTCCACATTCCTTGTTTAATCAGTTTGGACTTTACCATGAACAAGAAGATGAAACTTCAACTCTTGTGGTGAATTGTTGTAATAAAATCTTAATAAGTGTGTCCCAGAGTCACTGAAGGTTAGATGCTTCAGGATGATGTCACATGCTCCTGTTTTACACACTTGGCCACTATCATGCTTATATTCCTCATTCAGACACTCAGGGATGTCAGAAAAGTGTGTTGATTTTCCCCGACGGACGTAACGAATATCAGAAATGTCTTTGTCCTGTTCACATCGCAGGGTGACGTTTCCTCCCTTTATTCCTTCCACAGGTTTAAGGGCCGTTCCCACAGGGTGGGTTTCTGCAAACATAGATTAATTCAATATAAATCATCAATATGAAAATTAAATGTGGCGTTTCTGTCTATTCTCATTACTCAATGTTGTCAGAATTATTCAAAATAAATAAATAGAGTTATAATAGACATTAAAATAATGTTGCTTAAGTCACATATTTTTCTATTAGTTTCACCACACCACACATCCACATCCAATGAGTTTCTCCAATGTTGAGCATCAGAAATATATGAAAAGAAAAGATTAAGGTTGTTAACCCATGGTCTAAATTATTGGCCTCTAACACACAAGCCTCATTCATGACAATAACACAGTGCAGTTGAGGTGAAATCTACTGTATCTACTGCATAAATAACTAAGTCAGAGCCATCATGATGTGTGTGTCACAGTGTCTGGTTGTGTTCCCTTGTTTATCCACTAGATGTCCTCCTTCCCCACGGTGTCATTTACTATCTGAACTGCATTTCTCAGCATTCTGTCTGTCACTCATCAGTTCATTACACTCAGCTGTTCCCCGTAATCATTGTTCCCAGCTGTTCTGTGTTAGTCTTGTTAGATATGTGTATATTCCCTGTCTGTGTTAGTATGTGTACGGAGTCGTTGTTTGATGTCATCACACTTTTGGTCGGTCTATTGTATGTTCATGTTTTGTTTCTTGTTTTGATTACGTGGATTTGACCCCTGCCTGGAAGACTATGATTTGGATTACCCTGAATTAAATAAAATAACTGCTGCAATTGGATCTCTCTGTCCCTCGTGTGTGTTCGTGACAGTGTGATGATGTAATATTCATCATCAGTCCACAAATGACAAAATTTGATACAAATGACACTCACTTTAGTGGCACAACACAAAAACAATTGACTAAAATAACTCAACATAGAAAAAAAATATGATTTATAAATAAAAATGATACTGACCGCTATGACTGATGGAGAGAAAGAGCAGCAGACTCAACCTGTCAAGAACAGAAGAACAGTTGTGTGTGTGACAGATTCTTCACAGAGAGATAGCCTATCTAAAAATTGTTTTGTTGAAAATCTTACTGACCACATTAAAGATTACTCTAAACATTTAATTTTGTATTTAAATAAATAATTTTACATAAATATATAACACACGTAGATTTTACGTGATAAAAAAAAATATCCAATCATAAACATAAACTATAATCTACATCTTAAATTCAACGTTTTCTAAATTATTCCAGAGTAAAGTAATTATCCTGAGAACAGCTAGAAATAAACCACGGCTTCACAGGCTTATTGCTTTTATAAAACGGTTAGTCCATAAAATGTAAATATATATATATTAATATTTAGTCGCAGTGGTGCAGTTATAATATTGTAGTGAGTTCACAGGTCAGGTGTACGTTTGAGTAATTTACAATGGCGTTGAACGCGGCTGAATAATGAATGTTCTGTTTCTATGCTTCATTTGGGATTTTTCCCTGTTCCCCCGTGACCTTATTAAACAGTAATTTAGTTCCTCGTTTGTTCTAGATTTTTATTTATTATTATGTCCTGTTTCCTGCGTTCCTTTTTCCTGTCTTGATCAGAATCAATGAACTATATCCATCAAACCATAAACACAAACAACAGGTTTTAAAAACTCTGTTTTCTTTATAATATTATTAGTATGTTATTTATTTTTTTGTGTAATTCCTGTGTATGTCTGCATTAAGTCGTCAGTACTTTCTTCTGCACTGGAAGCTTTTTTCATCAAGAAAAAAAATCCTTGTTTGTATGTAGCCTAAACATACTTGGCAATACGGCATAAAGGCTCACACGATTTAATTGTCCAGAGGCCACAAATAAAGTGCAAAACGTTTCCGGGTTCAAGCACACCTCCAGTTATTACCGTATAGGCTAATCAATGTAACATGCCGGAATCGAATTTTATCCCATAGAAAAATATTTAGCTACATAAATAGGCCTACTAGCCTACATCACAACAACTATACATCATAAAGTTAAAAAAAAAAAATCATCATAATCATCGTCGATCTAAATCACACGACTGGATAACAATAGCCAGCTTGATTTATTTCCTTAGCATTGCTAGCAGTTTTAGTTTCCACAATCAGAAAACAAAACTATTAGTAGCCTATAAATAAGAATACAAAAACACACATTTTAAAACGTGAACACTTACATGGTAAAAAAAAAAAAAAAAAGTTCTGCACGAGAGTCAAAGCTTCATCAATCACTGAAGGTTTAGCGATAGTTAAAGGTAAAGTGAAAGTAAAATTTCAGGTACGCGCTTCCAGAGATTGACACTCGGCACAGACTGGTTACCACCGGAATGCTGATCAGACACTCCACACACACTTTAGTCGCCATTCATCATTAGTTGCTGGACAGTCCTGATATCAAGTCTCCTGCAGGATCGTGTCTTGATCACGGCAGAGTTTAATCCCCCCCCAAAAATAAATCTCACTAATTTTATTTAAATTTAGCCAAAATAGCTCATTGTCGCAAAACATAAAAAAGTAGCAGCAACAATGAAAAAGTCGCTAAATTTGGCGACAAAATCCCATTGGCAACACGGTGCAACACGCAGGCTGCAGTAACCCGTCGTGACCACCAGGTAGACGTCAAAATATTGTATTTTTTTTTTTCCTGAAGAAAATCAGGAATTGATTTCATTTAGCCTAATTCTCTTAATAATTAATCGCATCATCGTAATGCAGACCCCAGACAATAAAATGTTATTTAGAATCATCCCGTTTTTTAACGTAACATCACTCACTTTATTAATGTTTCAAATTAGTCTTTTTTTATTAGCCTTAATTTAATTATTTTCATGTTTAGATAAAATAGCAACGTTACATCAAATTCACTGTAAAGATTTACAATTCTTAGTTTCACTTACGGTGGTACATGAAAAAATTATCTAGGCTATAATATAGTGTAAGATTGCTGCACTCTCTTGGAAAACACTTAAAATAGTGGCCATTGGATTTCACACACACAATCAGACATCATTTCAGTTTATTTATTTTTTTTATTTTGTGATGTAACTTTGAGCTGAATCATCACGTTTCAAGCCATTTAAATTAATGGAACTTTTTTTTTTTTTTTTTTTTTAAACAAACATAACTGGCGCTGGAACGCCCGAACACTGCACAAGGCTTAAAATTACCATTATATTCAAGATAAAATATATGTCAATGGACACAGAAAATATGCATTTTGAGTCACATGCTATTTTAAATGAATCCTAACTGCAGATGGTTCTGTTCTAACTATATTTGCTGTTACTGTCGACACTGAGACGAGTAATAGAATTAATCTGGTTATCAGAAATATAACATTCATCATTAGATAAATCCAGTACTATCTCAAGCTGATGTGGTTCCTCACGCTTTCTAAATGACCTTTAACACCTGCATGGCCATAATTACACTTTCCCCATATTTAAACCTGAAGTGTCCAAACACACACATAGTTAACACTTAGGTTTTTTTATTACATCACATTGAAATTCATCCATAAAACTAACATAAGATACATTGGAAATTGGCTATCATTAATAAACATTCCTTGGTGATCAAAAATAAATAGTTAAAAAAATATATATTTATTACCTTGTTTAAATATTGATCTTTTTACATCTCCAGTAAAAATGGCAGAAAAACGGACAATATCTGCTATTCTTGCTTTTGGCAAATAACTGAGAGAAAACAAGCTGCTGTTCACTGGTTGATAAGATTTAACTTTATACGTCAAATCTTAAACGCCTAGCTTACTTCGCTGTAAATAGAAAAAATCTATTTAGCACTGATATTGTCAGGTTTAGTATTGTGGTAGCCTATTCCATGTTTCTCACTGACACGACAACAGGGCTTAACGAAACTCCTGAGCTTCCCACTCAACATTGTGGAGGAGTTACATGAGGTTCAACTCATAAATACGATCTTTACGAGATGAATTGAACGCACCAATAGTAAAACTAGGAGTTGTAAGCTCCGTGTATGGTTGTTTCACAAAGTGAATATTGCACAGTTTCTGGCGTATTGTAAGTCTGAATATTTTTTTTCAGTCCAAACACTGTAGATTAAATACACTAGTAAATTAAATACACTGTAAAATAAATACACATGCACTGTAAAATAAATATACTAGTAAATTAAATACACTGTGAAATAAATAGGCCTGCACTAGTAAATTAAATGCACCGTATACGAAGCTAATCTTCCCTAAAAACTTTGGGTAACACTTTACAATAAGGTTCGTTAGTTAACATTAGTTAACTACATTAGTTAATATGAACTAATAATGAATAGCACACATACAGCATTTGTTAATCTTTGTTAATGTTATTTTCAACATGATTAAAATCTTGTTAGCATTAGTTAATGCACCGTGAACTAACATGAACAAACAATGAACAGCTGTGTTTTCATGAACTAACATTAACAAAGAATGAACAAATGCAGTAACAAATGCATTGCTCATGGTTAGTGCATTAGTTAGTTAGCAAATACATTAACCAATGTTAACTAATGAACCTTATTGTAAAGTGTTACCAAACTTTGTTTAGCCCCTTGAGGTACTTGGCAGAGTCTCTCCCGATTGGTCTCCCGACCAAATAAAAAATACAATAAATAAATAAATATAAAAATACTAAAATTACAATACCAATGTGAAATGAACTGTTGCTTTGCCAAACAATCGAAAGTCATTTCACGTCAGTTCAAGTATAAACGTTTAAAGGGGTCATATAATGGTACATGCACTTTTTTAAGTTGATTGTACTAAAATGTTTGTTGTCAGTGCCTGGACACAACCATCATAAAATGATAAAAATCCGTCCAGTGTTTTTGTTTTAATCTCCTGTTTCCCCCTGCCTCAAACTGAGCCGAAAACAGAGCAGTTTTTGACAAGGTAAAATGAGTGTTTTCTTACAATACTACTGAGAATTTTTAATAAAAGTATATTACAAAGTTTTTATTTAGACCCTAAAGATTCATATTAACCAAAAATGGCATTATATGACCCCTTTAAAAACTCAATAAATAAACAATTCAAATGTCACAGGATTGCGGGATATCTGCCTCCAGAACCTGATCAGATGAAGGGATCTCAGGGGATGGGGAGTGAAACTAACAGTGCATTCAGACGTGTCTTGATGCCTCACGATTTTGAAATGCGTCCTATACGAAGACATTTATCAGTTTCCGGACGCAGTTCTGGACTACTATTCTCTTTCTTGCATTGGGACCCCTTGGAAGGGATCATGATCAGCGTTCCTGTTCTGACATTGGTGTTTCCTGATGACAACAAACACAATCACAGCCGCCAGAACCAGCAGAGCTCCACACACTGACGGCACAATAACCCAGTGATCTACAGCAGAAAGGAGGAAGGAGGGAAGAGAACACAGTTTTTAAAATGTTTTTTCTTTTATAATCTCACTGCTTAAAGATTTTGTAAATCTCTCAATGTCTCCTGTTTTACTCACTATGTTGCTCATTCGGTTTGTGATCATCATCAGTATCCAGTTTCCCCTTTGATTCTGTTCTAGATTCTGTAGAGGAGATTGAAAGGTTACTCACACAGTTTAGCATCATTTTTCTGTTCAAATCCTGATTAAAAATAAGCTCAAATATTTGTGCTGGTCTGTTCTCTCACCTGTGACTGTGACTGTGATCAAGGTTTCATTATTAGAGTCCAGAACTCTGTATGATCCAGTGTCGTTGGCTGTAAAATTACTAATGGTCAGACTGACGCTCAGTCCATCACTGCTGACCCCGTGACCTCTCCTCCACAGCTCTGTCCAGCCGGAGCCAGAGTTTCTCTCCACTTTATCAGCATTGGTCAACAGAACATCCAACTTCAGCTGCTCTCCTTTCTTCACTGAGATCTCATCTGAGGACAAACAGAGACATTCATCCTCAATCACAACTATAATAGTGTCATTTAATCAAGGCCATAATCACATATAGGATGGTTTGATCAGTTTTGACTTTACCGTGAATATGAAGTTTATACTCCAGCATTAGTCGCTTTACTTCTGTCTGATCATTATTGTAATAAACATGTAAAAAGTATTTCCCAGCGTCCCTGTAGATCAGGTTGTTGATGATGACATCACATGATCCTTCTTTACACACTCGACCGCTGCAGTTTCTCTCACACACAGGGATCTTTTTTGACCGATGGAATAAACTGATATCCACAATCTCTCTGTCCTCAGATCCACAGGATAGAGTGACGATTCCTCCCTTTAATCCTGACACAGATATACTGGAGGATCCTGCGCACACACACATTCACATTAAATCAATATTATCTTAAATATTCTAGTTATTTTAGCAAACTGGATTAAAATAAATAAATAAATAGATTAGAATAGTAGCTTGAACTAGTTGAACTAGAACTTTTAGCTTGGACTTAAAAATAATAATTAATATCATAAATGACACTGACCGCTATAACTGATGAAGCACAGCAGAAGAAGAAGAAGAAGAGGAAGAGGAAGAGTCATCCTGATGAGAAAACAGAAGATTTGTTACGTGACAGACACACACTACATTACACACTCACTTTCAGTTTCATTGGATCTTACATGATCAGATTCTGCCATCATAGAAAGCACAATGGACGTGTGTGTGTGTGTGTGCGTGTGCGTGTGTGAGTTTGTGTGTCATAAAGATTTACTGAATTTGCCCCCAGAGGTGAAACATACAAATGTTTATAATTTTTTAGCTGATCTTGGATCAGTTTTATTAATGTAGACGTTGTAATTGTAACGTACGGACAGAGATGGTCGGATCCATGTGCAGCACTTTATTTAAACAAGCAGACATGAACACAGGCAAACACTTAAACAAAGGGGCAATCCAGAAACTCGTGGTCAAAACAGGCAATGGTCGAGGCAGGCAGCACAGGTTCGTGAACAGTCCAGGAAACAGGCGAGGGTCAAGAGTCCAGGGAAACACGGAGACACAGAACAGGGAAGAACGCTCGGAATTGCACGCTTACAGTGTAACAAGACTTCGCAAGGGACACAGGGAAAACTCAGGCTTAAATAAGGAACTCAATAACCAATAATGAAACACAGCTGAACATAATGCAACACAAAGAGTCCATGGGGAAACAAACATGGGGAGAGGGTGCCCTCTAGAGGCTCTCGAGGGCACCACGGCTGCTGATCGTCACATAACCCCCCCTCTAAGGAGTGGCTTCCAGACGCTCCCAAGAGCTCCGGGGGGAGGTCAACGGGGGCTGGGATGGAGGGCCAGGCCCATGGAGAGGCAGGAGGCCAGGCACATGGAGAGGCCTGGGGCCGTGGAGCGTGAGTGACCAGGAAGGAGCAGGACGTGATGGCGGCCAGGGCGGAGCAGACACAGGCGAGGTCCATGACAGCCTCGCCTCCATGGCCCTCACGGACTCAGAGGTCCATGTCAGGATCACCTCCATGGCCCCCACAGAGTACCTACTGCCCCCCCCCAAAAAATACTTGGGGAAATTCACGGGAGGAGCCTCTGGGTGGTGAACTGGTACAGGAAAGGCCTCCCGGAGCTTGAAGGGTGCAGGCAGAGCGAGGCGCAGAGGCGGGGCCGGCAGAGCGAGGCGCAGAGGCGGGCCGGCAGAGCGAGGCGCAGAGGCGGGGCCGGCAGAGCGAGGCGCAGAGGCGGGGCCGGCAGGGCGAGGCGCAGAGGCGGGGCGGCAGGGCGAGGCGCAGAGGCGGGGCCGGCAGGGCGAGGCGCAGAGGCGGGGCCGGCAGGGCGAGGCGCAGAGGCGGGGCCGGCAGGGCGAGGAGTCTGGGCACGCTCACCGGGGCCTGGCGAACCAAACGAGTCCTCCTTCTCCTCCTGCGGCGGCGCGTCACAGGGCTAGACACACTCACGGGGCTGGACAACTCACTCACTTGAACTGGAGATGCAGCGCTCACTTGAAGAGGAGATGCAGCGCTCACTTGAAGAGGAGATGCAGCGCTCACTTGAAGAGGAGATGCAGCGCTCACTTGAAGAGGAGATTCACTCACTTCAACAGGAGACTCGCCCACTTGAACTGAAGACTCACTGGACAGACTAAATTCAACACTGGACACACTTGATTCACTCGGCTCAGCACTTGACTCACTTGACTCGGCACTCGATTCACTCAGCTCGGTATTTGACTCACTTGATTCACTCAGCTCGGCACTTGACTCACTCGAGTCGGCTGGCACGCGCTCAAACTCCGGTTCGACCCGCGACACCTCCGCTGTCTTAGAAACAGCACTTTTAACAGGGCCAGTGCGGGATACGGGCTCGAGGGGTCCGACATGATGAGTGGTTTTGGCAGGAACGATATGCTTAGAAGCTCCTCTGACGGTCCTTAAGGGAGGATCAAACAGTTTAGCGAGCTGAGGCTTATGCTGCGTGCGGAGTGAGTGAGAGAAATCCGCCGCATACGAAACTCCCCGGCGCAGGGAAAAGAGCAGTTCCTCGAGACCCTCCTTTTCTGCGGGGAGTTCAAAAGCCTTTCTGAACAGGGCGGTAAACACGTCGAAAGGAGGAAACGACATCCGACCTGGTTCCCAAAACGTGCCTGCCCACTCCAGAGCCTTTCCAGTCAACAGTGAGCAGATGAAAGAAACGCGGTCGGTATCCGAGGCGTATAACTGGGGCTGATGTTTCATATATAAACTGCACTGCTGAAGAAATCCTTCACACGCTTCCGGTGAGCCATCAAACTTCTCGGGAAACGGCGTACTGGAATTACTGCATGCGGTACTCACACAGGGTTGCGGTGGAACAGGTGCAGCGGGAGCTTGGGCTTGATTAGTGCTTGTGCTCTGCGGAGACCATGACTGCACGGAGCTTGCTAGTTCCTCGAGGAGAGAAGTTAGTCTCGCCAGCTGAGAACTATGAGAGGCTAGCATTGAAGCTCGGGTCTTGACCACGGCGGATAGATGCTGAAAGTCTGCTGGATCCTCGTTTGGCGAAGTCTTCTGTAACGTACGGACAGAGATGGTCGGATCCATGTGCAGCACTTTATTTAAACAAGCAGACATGAACACAGGCAAACACTTAAACAAAGGGGCAATCCAGAAACTCGTGGTCAAAACAGGCAATGGTCGAGGCAGGCAGCACAGGTTCGTGAACAGTCCAGGAAACAGGCGAGGGTCAAGAGTCCAGGGAAACACGGAGACACAGAACAGGGAAGAACGCTCGGAATTGCACGCTTACAGTGTAACAAGACTTCGCAAGGGACACAGGGAAAACTCAGGCTTAAATAAGGAACTCAATAACCAATAATGAAACACAGCTGAACATAATGCAACACAAAGAGTCCATGGGGAAACAAACATGGGGAGAGGGTGCCCTCTAGAGGCTCTCGAGGGCACCACGGCTGCTGATCGTCACAGTAATGAGACGCTTGTATAATTTAAAGGAACAATAATAGTTAAAAGTTTATTATTGGCCTGTTTATCTGAGCCATGAAACAAAACAAGCTCTGAACATTGATAAAATAAAACCAAATTGATATTTTATCTTATTAGATGATAAAGTAATGACATTTGATATTTTACTTTGCTGTGTGTTTGTAAAAGTTTTTTTTTCTTGCTGTCAGGAAATATTCATGGGTTATTTACGTAACATCACCTTCACAAATATACCAGAGTCACATGACATCCAGCTCCAGCTCTAATGGCGCTTTTCCACTGCTGGTACGGTTAGGTACGGCTCAGTACGGTTCGGCGCGGCGCGGCACGGTTCGGTTCGCATTTCCACTGCGTGGTACGACTCGGCTCAGCATGGCACGGCTCGGTTCGCTTTAGCTCGGTTTGGTTTTCCACTGCAGTTAGTGGGTGGGATTATAGTAGCAGTCCCCTCAGATTTCTGATTGCTTAAAAAAAAAAAACTAAAAAAAAACTTGGAGGCAAATTGTTTTTAGTGATTATGTGAATTACACTGCGCAAACCAAATACTTCCCACCGGATGAAGAAGGGTTGGCTCTCAGTCTCCAAAGTACATAAAATTTAAACACACAAAGTACTGGCTATTTAAATCTAGCGGGTTTGATGTCTTATACAATGACAATGACGCTGGTAGTGACGATTCTCTCTGACCAATCAGTGATCTGCAGTGTGTTCACGTCACATTCGACAGAGCCCATTTGCTTTTATTATTTTATTGTTACATTGTTATTGATGAGTATTCATTAAGAGTTTTGGAGTATGTGAAGAATGCCTATGCCAGGTGTGTCTGACCTCAGTAGTCACGGCAACAATAATCAGACACCCCTGAATTAATCAGTTTGGCCAATAATGGCAGACAGGAAACAAGGAGCTGGCTGAAGTTCAGGAAGTAGTGCAGCTGTGCATAAAGCCCATTGCCATATTATTATTACTAATCGAACATTTAATATGTTTTTATTTGGTATTTTATTTTTTTCTGTCATTAATGCATTGTCTGTATAATTTATCATGTTTCTATTCTTGTGAAGCGCGTTGAGATGCTACTTTTTAAAGGTGCTATAGAAAATTAAGTTTATTATTATATTATAATATACCACCTCTAATAGCTGGAGTTTATCTGACGGTGTACAGTTATGAGTGACGGATGTGGTTGGCCACATTCAGACAGAGGGGCTCAATCTCTTTCAGTGATTCAGTGACGGATGTGGTTGGTGTCGTCATCACACTGATGACGAAAGGTTCTAATACACAATGTGTTTTTATTTTAACAATAATGGTCACCTGCAGTTCAAGTGTGTTGTCAAAATAGTTTAAGATGCTTTTGTTTTTTTTTACTTAAAACAATCACAACTGTTCATTTGTATGAAACAAAACTTTTATAAAAAGTTAGGTTTTATAAATGTATATATAATAAATACACAAGCAACAGGTTTTGGAAGTTCTTTACCCTGCTACCAACCAATCGGAGTAATCATGCTAAAACATTGTAACAATTATATTAATAACAATATAAAAACATAACAGGGCAAATTCATCATAGACTTTGACTCTTTTTAACATTACTAGCAGGTTTAGTTTCTCACAAACACACAAAACTATTTTAGAACACAAAAACACACATGGTGGCTTTATATTTAAGAATATGAAAACTTACATGGTAATAGTTCTGCGTGGGTCCGTGTTCAGTCAGGCTTCCTCCAAATCACACAGCTCAGTGTGTGTGTGTGTGTTTGTATGTGTGTAAAACCTTCACAGAGACATGGGTTGCTGAAGTTTCTAAAGGTTCCTGTATTTTTTAAAGGGGCCGTATATCAAGCTGCTTTACATTTATGGCAAACCGATTTAACATTTATTCCTGAAACATACAGTACTATAATCTATTTTCGTTCTACTTCTATTTTTATATACTAGAAAATTAGCTATTACATTTGGTTCTATAGGCTACTTATTCATTAGATAGGTTTATTTATTTTATTAAATTTATTTTATTTATAGATTTATTAGATGGTGTAGCCTACTCATAATGCGTAATGACTTTCTCAGTTTGTGTAAATGTGGGTTTTTTTTCAAGCTGG